TTGTGACTGGAGGTACGCATGCGATGAGGTCGGCGGATGCGGCAAGCGCCGTCTAGTCTTGGCATTTTCACGCTGCGCCAGGCATGGGACGATTCAGATTACTCAGTTTAACGTCGACAACCGCCATCACTACATCACATGACATCGGAGGACTACTTTACATGTATAGGCTGACAGCAACATACATACGGCATTTTCCGCTAGATTATCGCTGTGGTTGTAACGAGTGACCGATTTTGCGACATCATCCGAATGTTTCCATCACAATTCGGCACATCGGCAACTCGCTATTGTACGATTCCGTGCATGTAAGATACTCCGATTGATTGCCTCCTTGCACGAAGCCACAGTCCTTACCGCATGATCGGGACAGACGTACATATCGCCGGAGAACGTAGTGTTTGACACTAAGGACCCCTCTTATACGGGCAGACTACCCTTGGTGGGCGGAGCGCCGGAACATGTGACGAAATCTCGATGAGCTTGTCGACAAGCCTCGGTGAAATTGTAGAAATCGTATAAATATCAACGACTTTCGCGACTATTCTCAGATTTTTCTGCTTCAGAACACCAGTGACAACAACTCTATATATTCTATAACAAAAGTAATTAAGAGAATGGCGAACCAACAAGGAGCGACCATCACGGTCCATTGGTGCGTGAAAACACCGCGGCGCAATTCCCTCCGCATCGAATGCCTCAACTGTAGATCTAATGCCCCCACAGGCTCAACAAGTCTCGCGGTCAGCGCATCGTTTGGCTGTTGGAGGAGCTTAACCTCGAATACAATATCAAAGTTTATATGCGCGATGCGAACAGGCGCGCAGGCCCCGACCTCAAGGCGGTCCATCCCTTGGGAAAATCTCCAGCGGTTACGATCCGACCGGCCAACTCTGAGAAAGATATTGTCATTGCTGAGAGTGAGACAATCATGGAGTATATTTGCGACCATTTCGGAAAGCAGTTGGTTCCTACGAGGTATCCCGAAGGCCAGGAGGGTGTGCTTGGTGCAGAGACCGAGGAGTGGATGAGATACAAGGTAAGTTATCCACAGCTTAACTTCCTGGCGTTCATAACGGCATTGAGAACAAAAGGGCGCGGTGATATCGTCGGGTGCCGCGACCTTTTTGCTTGAAGCGTGTTCACGTGACTTGAAAGAACACAGCTAATTCTTCATCATAGTTCCTTATGGACTACACAGAAGGCAGTCTCTTCACAGTCCTGATACTCGCTCTCGTTACCGGAAGTAAGTGCCTGTCGAATTCCCTCCTTACGACATAGACTAACAACAGTAGGCATCAAGAATGCTCCCGTTCCCTTCTTCCTCAAGCCCATCACTGGTGGAGTCGCCTCCAAAGTCGACAGTTCCTTCGTGAATCCAGAGATCAAGCTGCATTTCGATTTCTTGGAAGACTACCTCATGAAATCTCCTTCTAAAGGAGAGTTCTTCTGCGGGTCCAGCATTACCGCCGCAGACATCATGATTCACTTTGCGCTCGAGGGTGGCTGCCAGCGCGTACCTTTGAGCGAGACCAGCTACCCAAATCTGTACAAGTATATGAGGAGGTTGCAGGAAAGGGATGCGTACAAGAGAGCGGCTAAGAGAGTCGAGGAGGCAAGCAAGGAGAAGTATGTTCCGTTCAGCGACGCCAAGTTTTAGGTGCTGAGAACATGGAAGGGTAATTGGGTTCAAATGGTCACAGGGCCCTGGCGTATACAGTGTCTTTTATATGTAGTCGTCTTAGTGTGTAATGCGCATCACACCTACATCGGTCAGCCGCTTTGACGGTTATATGAAATAAGCGAGCCTTCTGGGTAGCGGTTTCTTGAAGCGTGCTGTAAACGACCAATATTGGTTCAAAGTTACTCCGAGAACAGACACACATGTTCAAATTCAGCGTCAACGCGACACAGAAGAGTCTCACGTCAGCACGACTGTCTCCTTCCGTCGACATTTCCGCATCCACTTGCGACACCATGAACAGTCAGCCTCAACTCTCATCGCTAGACGGTGTGTAGATTGGGGGCGGACTTCAGGCGTCCAGTCAAAGGTTGATGATGTGCAGCAGCATTGACTCGTGCGAGCGGCCATGCCCCGAGCTACAAGGTAATGATTACGCGCAGATGGCTGGGACATCTTTTCTGGCGCGCAACGCGCATCTTATATATCCGCGACGTCGCTCGTGAAATCGGCTGTCTCGAAGAAGCGTCTCTCTCCTCAAACCGCTCGGCTGTCATTAACGTCAGATCAGTCCCAACGCCAATCCCAATCGAGTATTGTCTCCGCAAGCTGTTCATCACAAAGACCTTACTCAGCCATCCATCAGCACCTCACGACCTCGAGTCGTCTACCGCACATAACTGGTTTCTGCACCTAGGCCACCTGTCGCCCGACACTACGAGGCGATTGCCTGGGTGTGGCTAGCCAATGTCCGACCGTCCAAGCGCAAACTCTGGAGATTTCGCATTTCAAACCTCTGACCAAGCAGGTGGAGGATCGCAGCAGTATCCACAACAGCCGTACAATAGCTACAATGCTGATCAGGACACAAGCGCAACCGAGGCTACAAGCCAGGCGCAGGGCTATGACGCCTCCGCGGTCTATCGCAACTACGTTGCCCAACAACACCAAGTAGCTCCAGGCCAATTTACGGGTCTCCATTTCAATCCTGCGGCGCATGCAGGCTGGGACTGGTCCAACTCGCTCGACTTCACAGACTTCACCAATCATTATGAGCCCCAAGGCGAACTGGTTCAGGAGTTTCAGAATCAAGTGAATCCTACCAACGATTTCAGCATTCCCCTTCCAGTCACTACTGCTGATTCCGCATTTCAAGCTTTCCAACAGCAGCAGCAGCAGAACCCAGTGACAACACCAAATGCTCCGCAAAACCAAGTTTCATCGTCGCCACAGCCACCGCCTCCTCGATCGCAGCAACAGCCAAAGCCGGTCGTCCAGACGAGCATGAAGAGGAAACTTGATTCGGAGCCATCCTCAGCTGTCTCTCAAGCTGGTGGCGGAGCCGTAGAGAACCCGCCGAAGCGCCATAATAAATCGCGAAAATCGTCAGATGCCTCAGCTTCATCGCCCATTATGTCGGCCCCAGTTGACGCCCGTGCGCTGACAGCGACAACGACACAAACCGCAGCGCCTCCGACACCCAACGAACCCGCTCCACAACCAGCGGCGCGAGAAAGTACACAAATTGAGCGGCGCAAGGAACAAAGCAAGGGTACAGGGCCGCAGGGCAGGGTTATCGATGTCTCAACGCCGAGAAAGATACAGGATGCGTCTGGTGGATCAGACATGCTACCCGCGGGGAAGGTTTTCCCCATACAAATTGGGTCAGAGCTGTTCAGGCTGTCTGGAGCATCACTCTCATCGGATGGTAAGCATGCGCCAACTACAAAACGCACACTCGAGGCCTGTTGGCTAAGACTATTAGAGCACCCTCATATTTTTCCCATTTTTTCGGCCAGCAGTTACACGACAATGGCGGTCGGGCTGGTGACGTGAGGACATTGTATATCGACCGTGATCCCGATACATTCCGTGACATTGCGTTACATCTTCAAGGCTACCACATCACCCCTAGAGATGGCGAGCATTTCGTGAAACTATACGCGGATGCGCAGTTCTATTCGTGTAAGTTTATCCGTGTATGGCATGAAGGGTACGAGCTAAATGTAATAGTACCGCGACTCACCAAACAGCTGTTTGGCACCGATATCTTTGTGCGGATAGGAGGAGTCCCCTTCCAAATACCGCGCGATCTCTTCTCCGCACCTGGCGACAGCCCCAACTTCTTCTCGCTAGGATTCGCACACTTCTTTTCGACGCCCTCAGAAACGTTCCCAGGACTGGATCGCGATGCGCTGCTCCGTCCGCCGTCTATCAAACCTCCTTCAGTGCCGAATAGGAACGGAGAGACATTCAACGAACTGATACAACTACTACAAGGCTACAATGTAGAGATTCGGAACAGCGAGCACCGATCTCGACTTCTGAGAGACGCACGTTATTTTCACCTCAAGGGACTTGAGCAGAAGCTTATACCCTGTGAAACCTCGTACAATCTGCGGCGCCAGCAGTCCGAAATCCTAGTCCGTCTCGAAGATATTCGCCAATCGGGTATCTCCTTTATCGCCGATAAGGCCTCTGAATCGGATTCTGGATCAGTGAACGGTACGCAGTCGATAAATGTGTCCCCGGGCCCCATAAGCAAGGTTGCCAGCCCAGCACCGTCAAATGCAAGTAGTAGCGCCGTCTCACGAGCGGGTTACGTCTCCTACGCGCGTCCGTATACGGACGACCATGCGAACAGCAATATTCTGATTCTCGAAATTTCCACAACCGAGTCGACATCGTTGTTCCTCCCCTGGTCTGCCCCCAAGGGTCCGCAAGTCGGCCCACTGGAAGTTGAGTTCCGCGCAACATTCCACAACTCGACTCTCGCGCGTGTCACCTCTCTCTTCTCGGTCGTAGCTTCGAAAATGGGCCTGCCACCTACGCAACCCCTCGGATTAATGTATCTGCAATCTGGCGGGGGCGTCGCAGCGCAGCCAGTTAGCCCCGCTAACTCTGGGGTTAGCGATCGCCGCGTTCGTGTGCGCCTCGAGACTGATTGCGCTCTTGAGGTCGATGGCTCACCCGCAGAACTCGATGTTGACCACAGTACTGGGCGCATTGGCATCCGTCGACCCAATTCCAACAGCACATGGTTATGGGGTGGCAATAAACAAGATTACGACGCCTCCCATCTCCGCGCCGACGAGCAGGACCCAGAGGTCGAATGGACACTTAAACGTGCCCACTGGCGCATCCGTGTCGAGCCTCTACCTCCCGACGTAGACAGCGATGTGCGTCGCATGCAGGTCGTACTCTGCGGCGTGAGGCTGGAGGCCTTCACTATTGAGCGTGCTCGTAACGCCTCGCGCGGTTTCCTGAGCTAGTTGTACTAGCTGTAAATACATACGAACGAAACCGTCTTTCTCCCACATACGACCATAGGCGAAAATCAGCGAACTGGGTCCCGTCCGATCCCCACACGTTAATCCTTCGACCGGCGGACTAGTAGTTAGGTGGGTGACCACTGGCGAATCCCCGCTGTCGTATGTTTTTGCTTCGTTGTGCATGTTTTTTGGGGGGTTTTGGAAGTGATTGTGATGGGAGGGTGCGTCAAAGTCTGAGTGGGAGGGTTTCTCGGTTGTGTAGCTAAGAACAGAAGACGTTTTGCTCGGGATGTACTGTGTAATATCATATTACATGTTATTCGGCGCAAACGACTACCTGCTACCCGGTACTTTTTCATACCTTTGAAGTTGCCCCAGTGTCATGTGAACGACTTCACTGTATCAAAAATCTTACACCATGGAGGTGTTCAATCGCCACTACTTCATTGGATATGTCGCGGGCGTAGGCCCTTGTAGTTGTCCCATCCCATGGCCTCGACTATCTTACTACCTACTTTCAGGACTGGTAAATCTCCTGCTATCACTGCCATGGACCGTACTGCTTCGATGGTAGTTCATCAGGGTATCGGCCTGCTTGGAAATGACAATGCCGCCCGGGACACTGTCGCTGATGTCGTCGCTGTCGGGGGCGATGCTTTTTAGCTCGTTTGGCTTTCCCGCTGAGCCACCGTCTTGTCCGATGTGATGTCTTCCGTGTTGGGGTTGCTGGTGGACATGGTGGAAACCGATGAGCAGTTATCAATTGTCACGGGAAGACGGTCTAAGGCACCCAGAATACGATTATGAATACAATTGTAGACTGAAGCTAATTAGAGGCAGAGGGAGGCACTTCCCTGGGGTATATCCATGGTCATGTGTGCGACGTCCCGTGACAACAAGCATCAAAGGGGATCTCGTCCCAGCGAATCTTGATGCTTCCGTGCTTCGCAAGTGCAGAAAAAAGGATATGGGAATAGGTACCCAAGTGATGACAACTCCTCCCAGCGAATGTAGGTCCAGCTCTTATGTGACTCAGGAATGAAGCCTCTAACCATTCGGGATAATTTTTTATCGTACTGAAATCCAAGATTGGGACTGCGATGTTTCGGACCCTGGTAGAATGGTCGGAAAAAAGATAGAAAACATCCCAGAGTTGTGATATCCTCTAATCTCATAGAGCTTTGGCCTATGTTGGCCCAGGAGAGCAGTCGCGCGCCGGTTACATCTCGGGCCCGCACCTTGATGACCATACTGCCTTCTTTTGTCCATCCTGCTGTGACCAGGTGTTTTGGTTTAATTTTAGGTCGTCGAGTGAGACGGTTCCTTAGATTGTATCCGCCCCCAAATCCGTCTTTATCGCCTTGTGCAGGTCAACGTGTTTAAACGCGGTATTATCCCACTTATGGGCATACTTTGCGTAGTGTGCTATGGCCGCAGTGGCCCATGGCAAAGTAACCAAAGCGCGGACAAACAGTAAGTATGATAATTGCTATCAGAAGTATGGAGCAGGTAAGTATTCCAGGCCTGGTCAAGGTGCGAGTCCCAAAGGAGGAGTATTGGTCTGGCAGTGCCATAACAAATGCCGTCTAGAATTGAAGCCTATGCAGCCGTTCTGGACCAGCTCTTTCCTTGTGTTCGCAGGTATGTCCCACTGCTCTGAGACCTCGATGTCCATCACCGCTGCGATCGTCTGGGCGATGAAAAAGTTGTTGTATGGTAGACTTTCAGATAGGAATTGGAATCTGATAGAGTAATGGCAGAGACTGCTCTTTTGTGATAGTGCTCTGAGACTACGGAAGTCTCTCCATATACCAGAAAAAACAAGATGTATAGTTGTCAAAGGTGGTAGATCTTTAACTGCCAACATCCATTCCTCAAAAACGCTATATGCGTTGATGTTCCGTCCATGTGGAAGACTACTAGTCTTCCAAACATCAAATTTCTTGTCTCTTTCTTTTAAAGCTCTGCTAATATCGAATTTGATATTCAATAGAATTGGCTTTTTGCAGACAGAGGCGTGAGCTACAAACGTTTGGAGAAACGTTTGTAAACTATGTGGTGTTTTGAAAACAAACAAAATCATAGGCGTTACTAAGCTTAAGACTTCATCTTTAAGCTCAGGTACGCGAAGAAGAGAGTTCTGGAAAAGTTCGCTTGCTCCATCGTCGGTGACATAGTCTGGGTAGTGGACAGTGTCTATCTTAGTAATAGAACTATTCTGATTTACTATCTTGTATATTTGTTGGACTTGGGATTTATCTTCTGGAAATATCGCTGTATTGTAGATCTGGTTTCGTATTTCGGCGAGGAACCGGGTTTGTTAGACAGTGATGTCGGCACTACCTATCTCCTGACATTCAGGAGGAGGCGTCCGTGGAGGTATGGCGATCAAGATACCCTTTAAAGGACCATATCAGGCCTTCTCTATAACGCTCAAACCTCTGTATTGGTATTCATGAGGGTTTGGTGTGAGGTCTGGGTATGGTGCTGTGTGTCCAGATTCTGGTAAGATGCGCAGATATTGGTACATCACCAATCCAGTGAGCCATTGGGAGAATTCGGAACTTCCGTGTTTTTGTGAAGGGCCATGATACAAATGGTTCTCGAAATATATATATTGGTCGTCAGAGTCGTCAGAGTCGTTTGTATCTGGCACAACAAACAGCGAATTCAGATCGAGGTCATTTCGATCAATCTGTTGCTGTTGCTCGTAGACAGTGTATTGGGGTCCTAGCAGTAACCCGTCACCAGCTTCCGTGAAAGCTGATAGAGCGGTCCCTCGATACAGTAGAGATATGTCTATTGTCCTTCAAAACCGCGTAGTGGGAGCAGCGGTGCCGTCCAATACACGCTGTAAATCATCTCTGCCATTCGGTGCCACGACTTCCCTTCCCTCTATTTGCGAGAAGAGCTATAGTTTAGCCACACTGGGCGCCCATGCCCGAAAACTGATAGACACTTGGGACTCTATCGCGCCAGCGGAAGGTGTATGCAGCAAGATGCGCCTCATCGTCATCCTTATATACAGTGAGACGCTGATGATGGCCGGGAGAGATGCTCTGAGCTTGAAACTGCCAGGCAAAGTTCAGGTTGAGCGTGCGATCTTTGTCCATATTGACTTGCTAAGAGTTAGCTAAGACGAGCAGGCAATCGGGCTTCGAGGTACTTACGCTATTCAAGCATATACTGCTAAGCACCCTTGATACTGTATAAGTAGAGGGTTGAGTGCTTTTCAGAAGCTTTAGAGAGTATAGAGGTGAAGGTTATACAAGAGGTAGAGGTGAAGGTGATATAGGAAGCAAAGGTTGAGAGGCGGAGTAGAGGTAAAGGCAAGAGTAACATGTGGTGGTACTCGTTTATATACTATGGAGCAAAGGCTAGTGCGTTTGTCCGTCACGTGGCAGGACTCTCGATGCGCCCAGTAAGGCAGCAAGGTGAAGGCTATCTGCCGCCTTCTCACCGCCGCTAGAACACAAACGGCTCCGTGACTGCCAATCTCACAACACTAAGCCATATTGAGTAGACTATAGCCGTGCCTCGACCTTTACTTGGAAGCCATACGAGATCTCCACAGGGGGTTTTCTTAAATGCTACTATATCAAATGTAGACAGCTGTCAAATATTATATGTGAAAGACAGTAGAAACTTCAACTTTACTCAGATCATAACCGGTATAGTATCATGCAGCAGCAACGACACCAGAGAAACTGGGTCGCTGCGTGCTCATCAGTCGCAGCACTGAACTCGAGAAAGTCAATGCCATGCTCAAGTAGATTATCCATTGTCTAGCAACTAGTCCTAAGGCAGTGGAGCGGGAAATTTGCCAGCCAACATCCACTCCTGATCCGATCGAAGTCATTTCATCGAAGATGGCAACGAAAATGGTGATAGATAGAGACAATTTCAAAGGCAACTAGAGAGATGGCGATGAATATTACGATGGAGACTGTTACTGAGACGGAGACGTAGATGGCGACGGCAGTGGCGACGAAGACGGTGATAAGGATGGTGATGAGGACAGCAATAAGGTGGTATAATTTGTTTTAGCAAAAAAGATCCTGTCTTTCGGTGTCTTTAGAATCACACAAGAGGCGGATAGTAGCTTAGCTGTCACATGGTGAGTTCAACCGTTACAGCTATTGCATACACTATATTCTGCAATGCTGGGCCACTGTATATCACACTGCAGTGTTATAAGCGATTATTTTGCGACATGCCCGCTGCATATCAATTCGAAAGCCTTACTGCGATCCTTTCCAGCAATCAATATCTTTGCGAGGCTTCGAAATGCCGTATCTGCCCCAGATACCTAGCCCAAACACCCTGTCATTCACAGTGCTACCCACATCACCACGCCACACGCACGAAGCAAACGCAAACGGCTGTCCCCCACAACCACACCGCACCTCATTTCCCTTGTCTCACCAAATTCCTTTTACATGGGAGCATTCTAAATACTGAGTGGGTTCTTAGTTTCCCATAGACCCATTAGCATCTTAGTGCCCCAACAAATAGGGTTGCAAACTAGGAGGGCAGCTGTCCGAAATCGGGCAGTTGCTAGAGCAACAGAAGCTGAGAGGAGTAAGGTTTGGTTGATTTCCTGCTCTTTTTTGCCTTTTCTTTACCCTCTTGGGAAGTGAGCGAGGAATAGTGACAGTAGCTACCTATGCCTCGCGAATTACATCTGCATGCAAGATAAAGAAGGCGTCCTTCTCTGCTTCAGGTAGTTTCTCGTACACCGCAAACTCGGGTGTTCTCATGTCCATACCGTATTTTTTGCCTGCAATTTTCCTGCCGCGGTGAGTCGGCTCTACGTGTCTCGCAGCGGTGTCGGCACTACCATCGCGTTGTGGGTACTTGCTCTTCTTCTCAACTTCGCTATCCACTGCGCTTTCTGAAGAATCTGGATCCGAAAGAAACGCCTGGAGGCAGACGAGGATACTGCGCACCGTGAGAACTGGCGACCAATTTCTCGCCTCCAGCTCAGGTAGCCGCGCTTCTCCCTCGTCAGAGACGCTAGGGTGAGACACGGGGGTAGTAAAGATGAGTTTGAAGGGTTTCATAGGGTATTCTTCTGGAAAATATATTGCTATGGGGAACGTTTGCTGTGCGTAAGGTGTATCTGGGGGCCCAGTGATGTGTCCGATCCAGTGGAGCGGGTTGT